GGGTGCTCTGGTGTGGTTTGCTTCTTCTTTCCTATGAAACATCTATCGTCCTTATCTCCCCTACTTCTTTTTAGGTTTGTTACTCTCTTGTAACACCTCCAATCTTCTGGTGCTCATATGACCGTATGCAGTTGCGAGCGCCCGTTGAACCTCTACTAAAACTAAAAACTAAACCACTCAGCCACCGTTTTAGCGCCCACAATATTGTCACCGCAAAAAGTAGCAATGGGTTTTTGGTTGGCGGGTGCTCTGGTGTGGTTTGCTTCTTCTTTCCTCTCAAACATCTATCGTTCTCATCTCTCCTCCTTCTTTTTTGTGTTTGTAAAATGTACCCTCGACCCTTTGTAACACCTCTAATCTCCGGCATTTATATGACCTTATTGTGTTGCAAGTGCTGGAAAACACTTACTAAATCTAAACTAAAGCTAGCAATGAGTCAAAGAACTGGACTACGGACACAGAGAAACGTATTCCCAGGGGAGGGAACGCCGAGATAGGACAAGACCTGTGTCAATGCTGCGTGAAGACAGAATCGTTTGGAACCGATGCTGCAACTGAAATATTTACTTTAACACTAACAAAAAGTAGTCATGTTCAGAAGAAATAGCATAACTTGTGTCATTAATCAATGCCAGTAAATTACAAAGAAGTGGCATTCCTTTTTGAAGAGGGTTTGTATTTTTTCCTAAGACAAAAGTCAGGTGAAGTATATGTGGCTCGAAATTGATGTACGGAAAAGTGGGAAGACATGGAGCAGCATCAAGCGGCTAGCCCAGGATAGAGAAAGGTGGAAAGTATTTCGCGGGCAGTATTGCATACAGACGTAAGTAATTTTTGGCGGACTCTTCTGTCTGGATCTCAAGCCCATACCATTTGTGGGATGCAAAGATACAATGCAGGAGGTAAAGTCTAAAATTCGTGAAACAAATAAACAAATGAGCAAACGACCAAATTAAAACAAACAAACAAACAACTACCCCCCAAAACAACAATAAAACAAACAACAATACACACACACACAAAGACCCACCTACACATACACACACATACACACACATACACACATACAAACACACACAGCAACAACAACAACAACAACCAGACCAGATCAGATCAGACCATCAATAATTTTGTATAGAGGAGTCTGCCACCCAAGTGTAGGTGCTGTTTCAAGCCTCTTTTTCTGTCTGTGAACTTATTATTTTTTCATTCAGATTCTAAACACACGCACGCACACACACACACACACACACACACACACACACACACACACACACACACAC